TTATATTAAGGATATTTTAGGTAGTTTATATGGATGAATAGTGAAATGGGTTAGCTTGGAAATATGGCCTTGAATTTGGATCATTTACATGTATTTCCCCTACGAAATTGAAGGTACTGCATTACTTTTGTCTCAAGTTATATTACAAAATGAACCGTAAATTTCTTTTCATCTTCACTAACAAAAAGACAGAATATCGTCAAAATAATTTGATAGCAATGTTTTGAGAAAGGACAAATTTGTTCGTTCCATATTAATAATTGAACTTGATTTTGTGAATTATAAGAATATTGAGACCTTTTCAACATCCAAAATTTCGAATATTCAACATCATAATGGAACTAAAATTAGAGTTTTAGCAAATTTTGATAAAAATTAATAAAATATGTCACTGAAAATTTGTGCATTGCACGAAATATATGGTTAAAATTAATGAATTGCGTGAAATATATGGTTAAAATTAATGACAAACCCCCTAAAACGTGATGAGCATTACAGATGGAAAATCACTGAAAAGTGGAACAATTAATCCCATGTTCGAGCCCTATTCTTTCTCCTTTTTTCCCATTCATTTTTCTACAGTACTCATTTTCAACCACATATTCTCCAAATAAAATAAAATTACACACAAATCTAAAACTTTTCATTACTTTTCCACCACACATTCTCCCATCAATCACTATTCAAAAACTAATTCTTCCTAAAAAAATGAGAGCCAAACACCCACTAAGATTCTACAGACGAACCCAAAACACTTCGCTTAGTTTATCACTCTCATGAAAGCCAGCTAAGAAATAATGCACATTTCCATGCCATTTTATACATAAAACGAGTAGATACAATTAGTCATTCGTCAAATCTATTACGGCAGAACAATTCCTACAGAGAACAATAAAAAGAATTTCATCAATCGATCCTGAATAAAAATTGTTCAACAGAAAGTATAACTGTCCAATTTAGAGGGACACGAAAACAGAACAAAAAAATTAGTTGTCCAGCCACAACTGAGTAGTGAAATCCACAAGAAGCTGCTCGTTTTTCAATTTGTTAGTTCAGGGAATATTACAAAGTATAACACTGGATATAACTCCAAAAAATTGATGCTGATAATCTAAGCATGATCATAAAGTGTCTAATGTCCCATTATAAAGTATCTCATTTTAGAAGCATCTCAAGCCTTCACATTGCAGGTATTCAAAATTTAGAGAAAACCCACGAATTGGAAAGGCTGACCTCTTTGGGGCTGATTAAGAAACACAAAGGTCCTTTAAGACCACTGCTACAACTTTTGCAAGTGCTTGAATTCCTGACAGTCAGCTCCAACTTCATTTAAAGCTAAGAAAAGTTTTGGCACAATTTTATCCAGCATCAGCTTGAAACCAACTGAATTTGAGTTACCATGGTTATTACTGCTAATGGAAGCATCCTCTGTGAGTGAGCCTATCAGGTGTCCCTTCATATAAGCATCACAAGCCTTGAGAATATAGTAGCCACGTCTTCTGAAATGTTGGACGACAAGCTCTACGAAGTCCTGCAAACAATCATGCAGTTACATTACAAGCAAATAAGTTCATTGCTTAAAAATTGTTTTAAAGCCTGACATACATCAAAGTTACTTGGAATATACAGTGAAGAAAAGAGGGAATGTGTGTGAACACAGAAAACAGCAAAACGAAAGACGAATAGTATGTTGAGAGAGAATATTTCTGGGGATTGTTTGGACCAGCACTCGCAAGTCTCAACATAGATAGGCTTAGAATTTAGATCAGCTATGCACGAAAGAATTTAATCTACCTAACCATTGTCATGGGAGGTTCTGGGGAGAATTTACTATCAAGCCAATTCTGTAGAACATTACATAGGTTTCATATAAAATAAAATAGCTTGCCACTGAAAAGTAATGTGAATTTGTGATAAAGAAGAAGAAAGCCAAAATTAAATGTCCATGATTTTCCAAGGAAAATGATGGAACAAACAACTTGGCAGGTAAAAATGAGTTAAATCTGGTTTTTATCACCTTTGGAGGTTTCCGCATCAGATACATCATTGTCTTACAGTTCAACAAATATGTATTCTCATTGTAAGACAATGAATTTTTCTCCCCTTCAGCCGTCCCAATTTGTTTATCATATCCCGCTTCATTGAAATATGGCTTGGAATTTAGTACTAGTCCCTGGAGTGAAACCAGGACTTGAAGAATGCTTGATGATGAAGGATCCCAAACCTCGTTTCCTCTACCTGTCCATGTATTCAAAAGACTAAGGCAGACTTTCCCTTCCTCGTACAAATTTGGATTTATTCGCCACCCTCCAGAATGATAATATGCTGACTGCAAATAGAGCAATGACAATATTTGTATATAAATGTAAAATATTAGTGTGGATAACTCGGATGGGTTTGATATAACATGAGCAAGAAAAAAGTTAGAAATGTAACATGATTAGTTTTCAAGCTTCAAAGAAAGACTTGTGCAAACAAACCAATATCATGTTCTCTTACAGGTGGAACGTCAGGATATTCTGGTGGGAGGTGAAAATCAAAGAAGAAAAGGCCATCTTGATAAGGTGTACCATATGCTCCAACTATCACCGCCCTCAAAAGATCCATTCTATCTTCATAGACACGCACATATATCCCCTCTGTTTAAAATAATTTTACTTTTAGAATGACAGCTGTGATTGTTTCAACATAAAAACAAGAATTCAAAATAGGAATGAGAAGTTAGTTACCGTACCAGGGAGATTATTCTGAAGAATGTTCCAATCTTGTTGAACTTTCTTGAGCCACTTCCTACCAGCATTATTCTGTAGTAGTGGAAAATTTTCAAAAATGATAAAACTAATGGGGGGAAAAAAAAGGATGACCAGAAGGGAAACAAAGAGACATGCATAATCTTCCTCTATTAATTCTTTCATTCTTCTTTTTCTTTCTCTTTCAAGGGTGTGGTGGTTGTGTACAAAATGTGAGCTCACCTGCCCATGTGCACCAAGAAAATAATGGTCACAAGGATTTCTAACAATATCAAAGCCTTTGAACCTAGAAGTGTCCTCGTCACATGGAGCTGGAGCTGCTCCTGGCGGTTTCAAGTTACAAAGAGCTTCAGCAATTTCTAATAAATCTTGGGCCTCTGCTGCATCATTTTCCTCCCCCTTTCCATTAGCAGGAATCGTTGCAAGATGATTGTCACTATCACTAGATTTCTGGCAGCTCAATTCATTGTTTGTGTCTCTTTCTAGAGTGGATCCCTCAGATTGAAGTTCATCTTCACTTATGGAATCCAAATCCATTAGATTCGTGCGCTGCCGTCCCCTTGAAAATATTCCAGAGGCAAGTCTAGTCACAAATCCAAGTGCAGCAAGGGGAATTGAGAGAGCTCCATTCTTTCCAGAATTTTCTGCAACAATGTTGCTCTCCTCAGATTCCGGTCTGATGTCACTCTCATTGTCTGTTCTGAGGTCCTACAAGCAAATACAGTGTATTAACAAAAATGTAACAAAAATTCTGTAGAAGTTATAAGGAAATGTCATTTCCAGCTTTTATCACCAGCATATGAAGTGACTACAGACGGGTCAAATTCCACAAGACATACTAGCCATTTGCTTGGCGGCCTTTGATATAAACACGTTTGATATAACAGTCAGAAACAAAAGTTTGCATTAATAAGATGGTAACGCCACACGTTGTTTGTTGGTAGTTACTTTAGAAGAAAAACACTGTTACTAAGTTTGCCAAACTGCTTAGAGCTTAAACGAGGCTTAAACTAATATATCATAATACATTCTGGTCGTTACATCAGGTAATTTCATTTACTTCAGATTTTTCATTGCTCCAACTCTGAAAATCAACCCTCAGATTTTTCATTTTAAAAGCACGCCAAAATATAATTAGCTCTAGAGAAGACAAAAAGGACCCTGGTATAAATGGTGTACTATCAGTTACTCTCAAATTGTGTCTCTAATTCTCCCATAGAGGTTCATGTAAACGTTTGAGAAAAGATAACTTTCATTGTAATAAAGCTTTTGCCCTTAGGAGGTTCCTTACGGTTCTTTATCAGAATTCAGTTGTAGAAAAAATGAAACCCATGCCTAGATTTGGCTCATTAGAAACTCATTTGATTTGAATTAAAAGTAACTTCTATTTTTTATATTCAATAAAATTAAGCAGGGCTCACTAAGCCATTTAGCGTGAGAAATAAACATAAAGACACCAGGCTACTCAAGCTCAACAGGAGCTTCTTTGAGATTGGTCATAACCTAAACAGGCAGGAGTAGACTGAACAACCTATGGTCGGCTAAAGGAAAGCTGAAATCTATGAACTTCCATTGCAAGGCGATGTGGATTCCACATATAAGGATCATTCAAATCAGGTCATTTGATGTTGAGGCAGGTGAATCAACGTAGATCCATCCCCTGAAGGAATTGGACATGATATTTTTTAATCATCCGGCTTGAGTAACACTCAGAAGAATCAAATGAATCCATAGAAAATCTAAGTGTTGCCGATATATTGAGAAGTAAGTTTTTGCATCAATCCAAATCCAGACAGAGGTTGATAGTGTTGTTTTTCCAAAGAAAGTGATTTGGTAAATCCTGAAGCTAAAGTAGATTAATTAATGGGGGTCATGAAAACCATAGTTCCAGGAGCCACTTACCTGTTTGGAATTCTCAACAGTTTCCGAATCGTCATCCTCAACAGTTTCCCAGCTACCTGCATCATCGTTAGCTTCACTACCAGTGGCAATAGACTCATCATCGTCACGACCAACAACATAAATTGCCTGCGGACCAACCTGAAACAACAGAGATCTTCAACTAAGAATGATGGCAAAAATTTTTACTTTTTATGGCAAAAGAAGCTACGGTCAATCTCATTAAGACACAGTATTATCGCATGCGTAAAAGATATATAAGTATCCACAACCAATCTTCATGCATAATTAAATATAAATTTAGATGGAATACAAAATCTAGGAACTCTGCAGTCACAGGTGTTACTAAGATTCAATTTTGTTCTTCTAATTCCTTTCTCCATGCCCACGAGTATACGCCGGTATAGTTTACAAGTAACGATGGTAAAATAATATATAAATCCAGACAAAACCAGAAACGTAAACTGCTCAAGTTGTTATTGGGGTGGGGAGAGAGAGAGAACAAGAAAAAGAGCTTTAGAGTAAAAATATTCTCCGAATGAGAAACGGTGTAACAAGGGCAACTTCTAAATAAAAACAGAGTAACATGAAACTTCAAGCATACCACTGAGATCATCCCATCAGCCCAGGTAACTTCAATGTCACCATTCTTTAGCCCAGTGATGTTCCCAACCCAAGAGAGATCTGAAAATTCACTAGGCACATCATCACCGGATGAGCTCAGTACCTTCTTACTTCCAGGACGTCTTTTCTTATCTTGCTTAGATTCATTTGAACTAATATTCTGGTTTGGTTCTTCAACAGACTCCATGAAAGAATCAACTTCCCCTGGTACAGAAACAGGCGACAACCGAACAACTACATCTCCATAACAATAGTCATAGTCAGGATGCCCCTCTAGCTCATAAACACTTACGACTTCCTCTCTATCAAACTCTCTGGGGTCCTCTGCCCGGGCAACTGGCTTTAACCACCTAACAGAAGCTGTCCGCTCTTTAGCATTGACACTTTTCACTACTCCAACACGTCTTATCTCAACAGCATCGTCACTGTCATCAGAAGCCTTCTCCACTACATACTGTTCGGCAACAAACTCATGATCACCGGGATTATCGATAGGGATCAAAGATGTGGAGTCCAAATCCTGCTTTATTGTTCCATCCTGCCAGGCAACATCAACTTTCGTCTTTGTATTGACAATCAAAACAGCCCTCTCAAAATTTTCTATTTTCTTTCGGGATTTCTTGTCCTTCCTTAATACAACTTTACGGATCTTTTTACGCTGAAGGGGCCAGGTCTCGTGGACACTTTCCTTTGTAACTGACATAGAACTGGTGCATATTTTCAATTCTTCAGCGGTATTATTCTTGAATGTTTGGCTGTTTATATCCAAAGAAGCATCTTCATTATTTGCCATTGGTATAGTGTTCCCATTTGGTTCCTCTGAATTCATCACTTCTGCATCGGACTCATCTTCTGTTTCAGCAGCTTCTGGTTCATCTTTAGCAGAACTGGAAGTCTCTAGTTTTGATAATCCCTTGTCCAGGCACGTGGAGGATGATACCAGAGATGATGGAAGAAGGCACCAATCACCCAACTGCCAGTTTGCATGTGCAAAACAAGATAATAATTTTAAGTTCTTGGGACTCTGTTCTTCAGCTGGGGTCGTAGCAGAGTCAGGCCCATACCCAGCAGATGCAATCCAATAAATAAACACAGAACCAATGGTAACTTTGGTTACAGTACCCTCCAACCGATTAGCTTTCCACAATCCAGATAGCCACCTAGAATTTTTGAAAACTGAGGAGGAGCTTGCCTTGACACGCTGGCCCGGATGATATGGAAAGTGTCCATCTTCAAGAATGTTCTTATCAACGGGTTTTAGACGGAGTGGATCAGCTTTCGTGACTTTACATACAGAGCCATCATCAAGCAAAACCGTTACATTATCCAAAACATCATCAACTCTACCTAGCCAGGGTCCAAGGACTACATAATCACCAACGGTAAAATCCCTAATGCGTTTCAAGTTTCTAGATGATATACCTTTCAAAATAGATCCCTCGTGAGTTAATAGATCGACAGAGATGCTGACATCAACCACGATACCTATTTGATTAGTTGGATCAGAGGCAGCAGCAACATAATCCCCATGTAAAAATCCTCTATCTACAACTGTCACATCAGTAGTAGTTTCTGTTGTTTCAGACTCATCCATCCAGAGAACTCTAACTTGGTCAGAGGAAAGAGGACTGCTCTTACTGTTATTATTGTCAATAATTTCATCAGCGCTCTCATCAAAATTTCCATTATCCACATCACCATCCTCATTAGAACCAACTTCGTCATCCTCATCATCATCCTCATCCCCATCTTCATCATCAGATATGCTGCTATCTGAATCTGAGTCACCAGCAACTTCGGTCACAATGCCTATCTTACTGTTAGTTTTGCTTTTTACAACATCTTGTCTGTAAATATAGGAGACATTCTGCGAGTTCATAAGAATTGGTTCATTTTCATAGGTTGAGCTCAGCTCAACATTAGGTGAACTTGATGAAGAATCACCTTTTCTTACGTTGTCTTCTTCAGTAGCAGCAGAGGTAGGTTTGTTAAAATTGGAAATATTACAATGCTGTCCAGATTCCATCTGCAAAAGCAAAAGAAGAGAACTATAAGAAAATCTAACCACCTTATTGCACACAATTAAAACACTTATCAATAATGATTAGGTGGAGCTCCAAATCTATGAAGTTCAACCATGCGTCAAAAATTATGTGGATTCTACTATCCAAAACACTCAGAAAATATGTATATCACAATGATGCATACGTTTCAAATCAATTTTCTTTAAGTCAGACCAGTCTACTGGTACTGGAGGACTCATCTCCAAATGAGGAGATTCACATCATTTTCTTTAAGTGTATTTAATACTAAACGCATACACTATGGAAACTCCAATCGTAAAATGTCAAATAGTTTCAAAGTAGGAGGATTCAGATATATAGCCATAAATGGGGGTGTAATTTAAGAAATAGCCATTTTCAAAAACTTTTGCAAATATGGCCAATTGGCCATTTATGTAAATAGACTAAAATATAACTTTTTATAAAGGTTTCAATAAGATTTGCAAATAGGCCATTTTTTAATGTACCAAACCCCTACAACCACCACCAGCCACCGGTGCAGGCACCTAAACCGGCCAAAAGAAGTTCCAATTTGTCCAATATCCTCCTTTACTCTTTGTCCCTAACAAAACTTCAGATCCAAAGCAACCTTCTTTAGCATTACCTTCTTGCATTATTTTCTTGGATTCCAACACACATACACAGTCCGTCTCACCCCCACCTGGCATATCTGAAGAACGTCTACTTCACTTCAATTCAATTCAATGACTTCAGATACCAACATCCACTAAAAACTTTCCGGCTATTCCCCAGCCCGAACCGGTCAACCAAAGCCCCCACCATTGCAGGCCAAACCAAATTTACAACCAATGCCCTCAACAAAATTCAAGTTGCACTGTGAAGAACTCGACAACCAAATGTCGTGAAAACTCAGAACTAGACATAACTCGACAAACAAATGTCGAAAAAATGCAGATCTCGACATAACTCGAACACAAAATGTTGAACTTGACAACCAAATGTCGAAACTCAGATCTGTAAGATTCAAATTCACATCTATTCTATCGTATTTTCCTCCCCCCTTTCACCATTTCTTGTAAAACGATATGCCGGCGATATGGTATGGAGATGGGTCTTCTTCATAAAGAAAAAGGGGGTCTTTTCTCTCAGAAAACAAGGCAGAAGAAGTGGCACAGAGGTAATATGGACCACAGATGCCGGCGAAATAGGTCTTGGATTTTAGAATGGGTCTTGAACCATACATTTGAATATATGGAGGAAAGCTTTACATCGAAAAGGAAATACAGACCGATTTTTCAAAAATGGCTACTTTTATGAACCCACTAAAAGAAGTGGCCACTTTTCCAAATGTGTCTTTCAAAATGGACATTTTGTCCAATTTCCTCTTCAGAGTATGCTATATTTGGTGTCACAGAAATGGGAACTTGGAGTTCGAAATATTTAAATTATTTTCCATGAATTCCAATCTCATGACCCATTTGGAGCAGTAAAAGCATTTACAGGAAAATTATTTCATTTAACAGAAATCTTTTCATCCACAAAAAAATAAAGATTTATTTAAAAATACCCAACCATAAGATGCTCAACCCTCAGTGAGGAGAGAAAGAAAGGGGGAAACTACATTCACAATAAACTATTTTGCTGCAACATGAAGTATTGTAGCATAAATGAGCACAGTTGTATCATGCTTGCCATGATGTGTTACTTCCCTTGGTATAGAAATAAGCAAGTGCAACATTCATATTATGGTGCAATAATGCACCAGTTCTTTTACATTCATGGAGGGCATGTTTGGGTAAATGGAAAGGTCTATATCTCGAGTGATTATATAAATCATTCCTTCAAAATAAATAGATTTTTCATCTATAATCCTCTTCATGAGTTAAAAATTTTGAAAGAAAAAAGATAACAAAAAAGGGAAAGGTTATTTGCCTCCATCAAACATTAATACAATGATTTAGTTGACTCTCAGCCTAGGTGGTGTCGACTAAACCTAATTTTGTGGTGATGGGATCAAACCCCAAAACTTAGTTCAATTTTTCCTAAGTCTCTCATTCTAGTGACAGATTCCTATAACTTGGAGCTGAACATACTCACGGTTCAAATTAAGAAGGTCCCACAAGAAAACAAAAAAAAATGATTAAAAAAAACCTAAATCAGCTTATAAATTTACCAGACAAATTGTTCACCTCTCCAAGCTTGATATAGAAATAGGACATTGAACTCTTGCGTTAAGTGGAATGCACAGAACAAGTTCAAATATTTTTTCTCTACTCCCAAGATTGCAACCCCAGAATCCATCTATTATAATGCAATCAAACCAATTGTCCCTTATCAATGTTAACTTGTTAATAGGTTTTAAGATATGCTACGTTTGGTGCATGGGAATACGGACTCAGATCAAAATACATTAAAAGAAAATCATACAAATCTGTATTGAATTTCATGAATCTTAACTTTTTATGTCCCTCTCATGCTGCCAAAACAGCTATGTGGAGATTATTTCACATAACAAAATCACCCTTTTCTTTTAAAAATATACATTAAAATTACAGGGCTCGGTATGATGTAAAACTAAGAAGATTCTCCAAGACAGCAAAATCATTGCAAGATAGCTAACTTATATACAAACAGAATAAGTCAAATAGGATTATCTTAGGTCATCCTGTTCAATAAATTAAAACTTCTGGATTAAAAAAAGTCCAACAAAAATGGTGTGCAAGGCATCCAGAAAATTCTGTGAACTACAGAGAAATCTGCCTTAATCAAGTTGACTTCACCCAATTCTCGTGTGACCATATCATACCCCCAGCATATAATACTTTTTAACTCAAACTTGTTTTACACTTTCACGTTATTTCTTTCTGGTTACCATAACAACAACAGAACTAGAAAAAACCAATAAATTATAAATCAATCGGTTAAACGGAAGAAAAATAGAATAACCAAAAAAAAAAAAACCCTACGCCAGCTCCTAACCAACCGCTCTTCCAAACCAGATACAGCTAAAAGAGGAGCTAAAATCATGTTTTACATAAAATGCACAAAAACGAGATCAAATCATATCTCAGAATATCAATTCAAATGCCCAATAACTTTTAAAAATTAAAACATAGTTCCAGAAAACATTTAAAACGTATACAGTGAATACATAAATGCACATATGTAATACCTTTGAAATCAGAAAGCGCTTAAACTGAGAGAGAATCAAGATTCGAGCGAATGATTGAAGAATAATAAAATGAGAGGCTCTCTTTATTGTGTTTCGATGATCTTGAAACTAAATTTTTTTCTGCTGTTTTTCCCAAAAAAAAAAAATTAAAGAAAGAAAAAGGTTATAGAGATACCAGAAATGGAGCTTATAGGCTAATCGGTGAGGGGTTAGGGGCATTGTTGTCATTACGTGCCGTAGAAGTGTTTTCTGATGTGTACTTGCTTAAGAAATTAATTAGAATTATATTCATTTAATTTTTGGGAAAATTGCATCAAACGTTCTCGGCCTTTATATACTTTTCACTTCAGTCCCTGCTACTTTTTGGACAACTTAATCCCTACCCTTCCATAAATTCAAAAGGACAAAAAAATCATTCCATTGTTCTTAATTAAAATATTGAAAAAATAAAATTCAGGCCCTGTTTGGTACACATTATTTTTTTTATTCTCATTCTTTTACTCATTTTCAACCACACATTCTTCAATAAAATAATATTTTCCATCATATCAATAATTTTTCCTTCATTTTTAACCACACATTCTCCATCAATCTACTATTCAATAATACATTCTTTCAAAAGAATGTGTCTCAAACACACTCTTAAAGATATATTTTTTTTCATTCTAGAAAATTT